AAACTGGGTAACATCACCATCAATATCATGATCATGTTATCTAGTTTGGGTAATGAAATGTATGAAGAAAAACAGCCAAGCTCAAAGAGCACCAAGGACCCCTTGATATTTCAGTCTTAGTTGTGTTGTCCTCTTCACTTCTTTTAGCTCACCATGCTCACCCAGATCTTGATGGAACTATGAATTCTGAATTGTACCAGAAAATTCTACAAAAAGAAGTTGTTTGTGAACTAAAACACAAGAGAAAGTGAGTCATGAAGCATGATAATGCAAAAAAGCAACCAAAGAATGTTAAACTGGTAGAAAGTCAATGTTTTAGAATGGTCTAGTCAAAACCCTGACCTTCATTCTATAGAGATGTTATGGAAAGAGAGTTCATGTAAGGAAGCCCACCAACATTCCTGAACTGAGGCTGTTCTGTAAGGAGGAATGTGCTAAAATTCTTTCAAGCTGATTCATGACTGATGAACAGTTAACAGAAATGTTTAACTGTAGTTATTGCTGCCCAAGGGGCCACACCAGTTTTATGTTTTGTCATACACAGAAAACAGAATAACAGAGTTGGAAGGGACCTTGGAGGTCTTCTAGTCCAACCCCCAGCTTAGGCAGGAAATCCTACACCACTTCAGACAAATGGTTATCCAACATCTTCTTAAAAACTTCCAGTGTTGGAGCATTCACAACTTCTGGAGGCAAGTTGTTCCACTTATTAATTGTTCTAACTGTCAGGAAATTTCTCCTTAGTTCTAAATTGCTTCTCTCCTTGATTATTTTCCACCCATTGCTTCTTGTCCTGCCCTCAGGTGCTTTGGAGAATAGCTTAAGTCCCTCTTCTTTATGGCAGCCCCTGAGATATTGGAACACGGCTATCATGTCACCCTTGGTCCTTCTTTTCATTAAACTAGACATACCCAATTCCTGCAGTCGTTCTTCATATATTTTAGCCTCCAGTCACCTAACCAGCTTTGTTGCTCTTATCTGCACTCTTTCTACAGTCTCCATATCTTTTTTACATCGTGGTGACCAAAACTGGATGCAGTATTCCAAATGTGGCCTTACCAATGCATTATAAAGTGGTATTAACACTCCATGTGATTTTGATTCTAGTCCTCTTTTAATGCAGCCTAGGACTGTGTTGGCTTTTTTGGCAGCTGGAATACACTGCTGGCTCATAGTTAAATGGTTGTCCACTAGGACTCCAAGATCTCTATCACAGTTACTACTATTGAACGAGGTACCACATATACTGTACCTGTGCGCTTGGTTTTTCTTGCCTAAATGTAGAACCTTGCTTTTTTCACTGTTGAATTTCATTTTGTTAGTGAAGTGCCCATAGATAGTGCCCAACGTTCAAGTCCGTCAAGACACAAATATGTAGCTTTTGATAATTTTCCCCAATAAATCAACAAACGAGTATGTTTTAATTAAGTTTTAATTAATGTGTTTAACTGGGTTCTCTTTATCTAATTTTAGGACTTGTGTAAAGAACAGACTCCTTTTTTGGTCATATTTATATAGAAATATTGAAAAGTCAAAAAAGCACCACTGTAGGAGATGAGATCTCATAAAGTTTTAGTCATATTCAACATAGCATATTCTTCCTTCCACCTTTTTTTAAATATAATTCTTGCTGACGGACCTTAACACTGAGGCACAGTGACTTATGGCACCTATTTAAAAGAGAAGGGAAGGGAAGCTAAGAAGCGAATAAAAACAACTCATGTGGATAAAAGTTTTGTCAAATCAAGCTCTTTGATTGTCATGGCAGCAGAGTCATTAAAGCTTGGGGCATAATTCTGTTTCCTCTCTTCCAAAGTAGTTCACTTTAATAACATTATTTTTGCTCATATAAATCTTCTTTACTATATGATTACAATAAGCAAACTAGGTCAATAATGGATATCTCAGTATTTTTAAGCTCTACAAATAGCATTTTTAGCAGGGGTCAATTTTCACACTGAAGAGCTTGCTGTTAACACAGGATCAATGACATATGCAAATAAATTTGTGTAAATCTTAATAAATTGTATAAATATTAATAATTAATACATGTTCAAAATAAATATATATTGACACAAAGGAAGAGGATATAAAATGGAATGGATTACTGTGAGTTTCCCAAATTCAAAATTACCATAGTGGATCATTGTTTAATTACAGCAGAACGTTAGAAGTATTTTGTGATTTAGTAGTGAAGATGCTTTGCTATGTATGTAGAGGACTGAGTTGAGGACTCAGCAGACTTTTCAAAAGCAGCCAGACTAGCTCCTTTCTTTAGACTTATATACCGCTTCACAGTGCTTTACAGCCCTCTTTAAGCACTTTACAGAGTCAGCATATTGCCCCCAACAATTTGGGTCCTCATTTTACTGACCTCAGAAAGATGGAAGGCTAAGTCAACCCTGAGCCGGTGAGAATCGAACTGCCGAACTCAGGGATGGGTTCTAAAATTTTTTACTACCGGTTCTGTGGGCGTGGCTTATTTTGTGGGCGTGGTTTGATGGTCATGGGACAATTCTTTAGGATTTAGCAGAGGTACTGGTCTACCAGGCTTTTAACTGCTTGCAGAGCCATACCGGTCTACCTATTTGTTTTTGGAACACACCGGTCTACCCATTTGTTTTTGGAACACACCGGTCTACCCATTTGTTTTTGGAACACACTGGTCTACCCATTTGTTTTTGGAACACACCGGTCTACCCATTTGTTTTTGGAACACACTGGTCTACCCATTTGTTTTTGGAACACACGGTCTACCCATTTGTTTTTGGAACACACTGGTCTACCCATTTGTTTTTGGAGCGCGCCGGTCTACCCATTTGTTTTTAGAGCGCAACTGGTCTACCACCACACTGCCTTTTATCGCTGAACAGCTGTAGGGCTGCCCTTTGAAGCGCCGCAGCAAGAGTTTAAACCGTTTTTTGCCACTGTGCCACCACCGAGAGCATCGGAAACCGCTTTCAGGCAGCTTAGCCTCAATTGCCAATCTACCATCACTAAGTGGTTTACAAGGAGTGGATCGGTTCTAGCCAATCGGTTGGGAGGCTTCTTGGCTTCTCAATTTAAAGCAATGGTGTCTTGTTGTTTTTTCTCTTCTTTGTCCAGTGAGCCCTGATTTTTTCCTTCTAGCCAATCAGCTGGGACTCGAATAGATTGGGGGCGGGGCCAGGCAGAGGTGGTATTTACCAGTTCTCCAAACTACTCAAAATTTCCACTACCGGTTTGCAAGAACCGGGGAAAACTGGTAGCAATCCACCACTGGCCAAATTGCTGGCAGCCATCAGTCATCAGAAGTAGCCTGCAGTACTGCATTCTAACCACTGTGCCACCACGGCTCTCCTTAGAACATGTTGCTGACAGGCCCCCAAAACATTTTTACCTAAGGTGGCCTGTGATGTAAAAAACAGACTTTGGGAGGGAGGATGCTATCAATGTTTTAATAGTGCTATCATTACGTTTCATTCTTTTTATTGATTTATTGATTGCTTATTACTGCTCTATTGTGTTGAGCTGTTTTCTTTGAGCTTCTAATATTGCTTGTATTAAATTATAATTTATTGTTTAGCATTCAGTTTAATTTGTTATTTCAGGTTTTTTTTAACTTTGTTTATTTTTAAATGTCTTAAATGCCCTTCTTTTGGTGCAAAGGTAGAATATAAATATAATTAAAAAAGAAAAAAATGTGCCTTTCGTTATCTTTGGTATCTAATGAATGTTTCCCATGATTTCACTTCCATTTGTGCCCTCCAAATTTAATGCAGAGGTTGAGAATCTACCTAAATCAGTGTTTCTCAATCTTGCTAACTTTAAGATTTATGGACTGGTGAATTCTGGGAGTTGAAATTCACATGTTTTAAAGTGGCTGGCTGATGAATTCTGGGAGTTGAAGTCCACATGTCTTAAAGTTGGCAAGGTTGAGAAACACCATCCTAAAGACAGGTATAAGAAGTTGGAGATAAAGAAATTATTAGAAGGAGGGAAAGGGATACTATCTAAATGTTACGCATATTTATTGTCTCTGCAGATAGGACAGGATGTAATGAAGGATTGTATGATAGTGTGGGGGCGAAATTTTGGATATCCCCTTGACTTCCAGCAATGGGAACAGATTTGGTTGAAAAATATGAAATTAACCATGGCTTCTTCATACAAAGAAAACATATATAAAATGGTCTACCGGTGGCATCTCCCCCCTGCGAGACTAGCTAAAATGTTTCCCGGGACATCTGCCTGCTGTTGGAAGTGCGGTTACAGTAATGGAACTTATTTTCACCAATGGTAGACCTGCCCGCAGGCGGTTAAATATTGGAAAAAAATACGGCAATGGATTTTGGAAATTACACAGATTAATTTGGAATTAAGGCCTGAGATTTTCCTATTGGGGGCAGAACCTTTGAATGTTAAATCAGATATATGGTTCTTGTTGATTCACATTATTACTGCAACAAGATTAGCGTATGCGCAGGAGTGGAAAAATCAATACTTACCGATGGATTTGAAAATAATATATAAAATTAATGAGTGTGCGGAATCAGATAGATTAACTAGATTGATCAATGGTAAAAAAGATTCAGAATTTTATAACAGTTGGAAATTATGGTACAATTGGGTCCAGAAAAGGTGGGATAGAATAGATATATGATGATGTATATATATGATCGCAAATATGTATGTATAAAGGAATGACTTTATATTTATGGACAATGTAATCACATTATACCAGGTAGGATTGTATATCTTATTTGTGTATTGGTGTATAGAATATATTAATAAAAATTATAAATAAAAACAAGAAATAGAGGAGAAAACCCCACTGCACATGAAGTGCTAACGTGATAATGGAATTTTCTTGTACTATATGCAATTGTAACCACTTGTTAGACAAAAGTTCTCTCTTTTTCTTCCTTTCCCTCTTGGTGCCAATCCTAGAAGGAAAAAAAATAGATTAAAAACCTACAATGATTTAGGGAACACGCTCACCAACTGCTCTTATTTTATAGATATATTTATGAGGGAAGAACTTCCCAGCTCCTGCTGGAGAAGCATCTCAGTTCCACTAGAAGATTAGACCCACCTATTTTGGATGTATTATGCTATGGATTCTGCAATTGCCACTTTAAAGGTAGTGAATATTTTTTACTTCTTTTTAAGCCTCTTCCCTGCCCAAAGTTGTAATAAGCAGCCTTTGGCATTAATGTAAATACATATCTGTTACTGATTACATTGGTTCTATAGGATTGAAGTGGGTTTTTAAGAGCTTTATAGCATAAAAAATAAGTTTATTTTTATTCTTTCTCATTAATTTTTCTTTTTTGTCTTATTGGTTTAGATGGGAATAGCTGAATGCAATAGATAAAGTAGATAGAAATCGATTACTATCAAATCATAAAAGTATAGATTGTTTAGATAAAAGGGCCATCTAGTTTAATGTTCTGCTTCCTGCAGGTAATTTATGGATTCTAACAGATGACTATCTTGCTCTCATTTGAAAATACAGGGAGTGGGGTGCCGGGGGGAAAGGAGAGGGGCAGGGAATCCAGTGTGGTTACAGCCAGACTTTCTTAACAGCTATTACTATAAATTCAATAAATTCTTCCTGGTTCAGCTGAATCTCCTTTTGCAAAAAATAAATAAACAAATAAATAAAAAATCAGTCAATTAAGACTTTGTTTTCTCAGTTTTAACAGGTATCAGAAGTATTCTCTCTTGCATGTGACTGTCTTTTAGCTATTTATTGACTGCTATCGTATTTCCCATGGTCTTTTGTCTTTAGCAAAATCAAACATGCCCAGTTTATTAAACTGTTCCTAATAGGTTCCCAGTCTCCCCAGCAACTTGATAGCTCTCCTCTGAACCCATCTCCTTCTCTACTTCTATATGTGATCATCAGCACAAGTATAATTATCTCCTGTGATAGGGACACTGTGTTAATGAAGCTCAAAATGCACCAGCCCTTCAACATGTTGTACGACATACATTTCTTATGTTCAGTTGGCATTCCACTAAACCCCTAGATTCTTCTCTCAATCACTGCCCCCAACCTATATCTCTCTGTACCTGTATTGAGCAGCATCCTATTGTGTTTTCCCCATTGATAAAACTGGATAAGTTTTTCTGAATAAAGATTTTATTGTATAAAGTGCTGGTGAACTTGAGTATCATCTGCAAATTTGATAAGCATGCCTTCCACTTCTCCCTCCAAAGAGTCACTAGGAGATGAGCTAAACTCAAAGGAGAGTTAATCATACTTATTTTGTATTTATGCAGGTATTTGAGAATACTAATAAATAAAGTCAATGTGATAATGAAAAACTATCCTGCTGAGAAATATTAAAGAAAAGCTATTTATTTTATGAAACCGGTGCAGAATATTAATAGCATTATTTGTGCACAAACTGGGAAGATGTGGCATGGGTAGATAACTGATGTCTTTAATAAGGAGACTAAGCCTTCTGTTCTCCAAATACACACACACACACACACACACACACACACACACACACACACACACACAGATATATATATAGATAGATAGATAGATAGATAGATAGATAGATAGATAGATAGAGATAGATAGATAGATAGATAGATAGATAGATAGATAGATAGATAGATAGATAGATATAATGTTTGATAGTGATAGGAAAGGTTTCCCAGTATAAATCATAACATAGGAAGAAATAAGTTGATTTCTCTTAGATGAGAGATAGACAATTTTTATTAAGAGTCCTACCTTTTCAGAAACAGAATTTTCTGCATGAACATAATTAGCAGTTTGAAGCTACTATCTGTATGAATTGCAAATACTGTTCATTGACAATTTAAATGATGGCTCCGGTTGAATATAACCAGATATGAAATTATTAGGAGACACGTTAATTAAATACATTGTTCTTGCTAGAAACAATACCTGACATATAATTAGGACTTGAAAGAAAGAAAATATAAATTCTTGTTTTCTTCTTCTAGCCTTGATATGATCTTGCTGATTTAGAAGAAGGTTCCTTTCTCAGCTCCACAGTGAAATAAGACATAGATTCCTCCTTATCTCTTTATTGAGGTATTTATTATGGGTAAGGGCTAACTGTAATTCCAGGATCCATGAAAAAATACCCTTGGGATCACAATACCAATAAACATCCCATACAAAGAAATATAAAAAGCTCAAATGATGCAGTCAAATGTCTCATTAAAAGATTGTCATTGACTTCAATTTCCTGTGCTCTGAGAGTTGGAACACAACTCACAGAATTCCAGCTATAGCCATTTCTCTGATACATAGCTCCATATTCTTACTATAGGTATTTGGAGGGGGGGTGGCAGGGAGCAAACGGGGACAAAATATGAAATGTACATTGTGGCACAAACCATCTGATTATATGTACATGAACATTGGGACACAGATATGAAAAGCCAAGATTTATGTTGTGATGTTATGATGTACATTTTCATCATTTTTTCTTCATTCCAGTTTGTACTGGATACCTATGATCTCTGCACATTTAATTTATAATTCACAATTCATAAGCTCTTTATACCATTGTGTGTTCTTTAATATAGACCATAATTTAACTGTACTGACTGTTAAACCTTCTTCAACTATTACAAAGGAACTCACATCTCCCTACAAAAGGATCTCCAAGTAATCCTCAGCTGTTTTATTTTTTTATATTACTTTCCCATGCAAAATCCTGGGGCTCTTTGTAAGCCTCACGAGGCTTCATTATGTGTGAGCATTTCTCCATAGAATATTATGAAAGTCAGGCAGCATCAGAAGTGGGCTGCTGCCGGTTCGTACTGGTTCGGGTGAACCAGTAGTTCCGACCACCGGCTGGGCCCACCCACCTGCCCTGGTGCTATCCTGTCCTATATGTCTCACTCTCTGGCCCACTCACCCCACCCACACAGCCCAGCTGATTTCCGCACTTCACCCACTCTACTCACTAACACTGTCCAAGAAGGTGTGCTGGAAGCCGCACCCATGAAATTGCTGTGTGTTTGAAGCCGTGCGAAAGTGCGGAAGGCGCACATGAGCAAAGCACACGTGCGTGCACGCGCTCACATTTTCGGTTCTGCACTAGGTGAACCAGTTGTTAAATTATGTGAAGCCCACTTCTGGGTAGCATAAGTGGTCCAGAAGTGGAGAACAGGAGTCTGCCTATGTGGCTACATAGGTATACATCTCAATAAATGCTGAGATGATTCTACTCACCATATTGTAATGCAACTAGTGAATTACAAAGCTGTTACGTAATTTTGCTGTAGTATAAGAGATGATGGATAATTTAAATTAGTTCTGCAAGGGGAGTTAAGATTGTTCAGTTTTTCATTGATCCATGTGTGAACAGAACTAATACCCTATATCTAGAGACAGATGTTCAAAGTCGAAAAGGATAAGTCATGTATATTAATGAATTCTTCAGTCTATGATGGGGGGGGGTAATCTTATCTGGGTACAATGAGAAGGCAACAAAGAGATAAAAAAATCTCTTTGCTGTCATCTAATGACCTCCCCGATATTTGCAGCTATGATATCCTGTTAATTAATACAGGTTTTTAAATAGTTGGCAAGTTCTCTTGGAATGCAAATGGCAAATAGTACTTTAAAAAGGAAGCACATTGGGTACCTAATTTAACCTCCATTGATACAAACCTGAGAGCTGCAAACTTTAATCAGTTTAGTTGGTCAATTAATCTTTGGAAGATTATTTCTTTCAGGACATACTCCCCACTAAGTTTAAGATTGCATTTGAACATTCCAATCCTTGGTGTATTTACTTGGAATTCAATCCCATTTTAGTGAACTATATTAACCCTCAGATAAGAATATATAGAGTTATAGCCTTAATTGGTTGATGCATCTGGCTTTTTAATCTTAATCATTGGAGGTCAGTATAAATTGTGGGATTAAGAATTAAGAGCACTCTAATATAAAAGCTATTTTGTTTCTGGCACAAACTGTAAAATAAAAGAAAAGACTAAGACAGCTGTTTTTAAACAACAAATAAAAGTTTTTGTTGATTAAATTACAAGTTGTTTTACCTTTTTTCTGCTAATTTACAATCTGATATTAGGTAGAATGCAAATGAATGAATATTGCCCAATCTTATATATGTTTAGCTATAACTAAATCTCATTAAACTCAGACCTAAACAAATATTTATATTACTGTTTCCTAAGCAAAAGAAAAAAGGATTGCTTAGATCAGTTGCTGATAGCCTTTCATTACCAATGTAAAATCAAACGAAACCCAAAACTTCCAAGGCTGTAATTTCCTTTCTAATTTAGAAGACATTCAAACAATGAAATATTATAAATATTTATTTTTTGCTGATTCAGAAATGCAGTAGGATTAACCAAAGTTCATCAACAATGCATCAATTGTTGGTTCTATAAGTCCCCAAAAACCATCTGCAAAAGGTTCATATAATCCAAACAACTTTATCTGACAGAAATTTGCAAGAATCTACACAATGGATCTGCACAGGGTCCCATGGCTGTTCCTTATCTATGAGGGATTCAGCCTCCCAAAATAGTTTTGCCATATTTTTTTGCCATTCAGGGATACAATAAGAATAGAGAAATAAAATACCTTTTGCCAACTTCATTTCCATTAAAGGCTTGGTCAGACTTGCTCTTCATCTTCCTCCAGCACTGCTCTAAAATTTCCTCATTTTAGAAGTTCCAAATGATTCCCAGAATCCATGTGCAGAAAGAGACTGTGTAGGAAGGATCTGATTCAAGAGTGCAGTCACCTGGTCTCAGTCCAATTGTGTACCAGGAGCTCATCAGGTGTTTGGTCAGACCAGGGGTGGGATTCAAATAATTTAACAACTGGTTCTCTGCCTTAATGACTGGCTGGGTGGGCATGGCCAGTGGGTGTGATAGGCAGCACTCAGTCTCCTGCACCACCCTGGGAGCAAAAATGGGCCACAGAGGGGGACGCGCCCCTCCGTGCCCTGTTTTCGGCCTAGGAGACCTCCCTGCAGCCTCCTGGGAGCAAAAACAGGCTGCGTGTGGACTCCAGTCAGCAATTTAACTACTGGTTCACCCGAACCAACCCGAATTGGCTGAATCTCACCACTGGGTCAGACCAATCACAAGGCATCCAAGGAAAACACC